GCCGAATGGGGTCCGGCCTGTGAAAGCAGCAGCGACGGGACGCGGGAGACGGTTCAGCAAGATGCGTCTCGCACGCGCGCTCGTCACAGGTTATGTCGGATGCAAAAGTAATTTGCAGAGAGAAAAAAGTCCAGGAGGCACAGAATTCACCATGATTTTCAAGACTTCGGGGCGTTCGAAGGTAGAAAATGGTCATTTTTGGCGGACCCCGAATTTTATGCAATTTTGGCACTTGAGGATAGCTCTCCTTTTTTCGTTGCGAACCTAGCCAGTGCCATGCTTGGACCAATGGGACGATTTGAATTGAGCGCATAACTCCTCACAAGCTGACTGATGGGGCACAATTTGGACTTGGGAACGATCCTTGGAACGAACCCTGGACTGATGGGACGGTTGTAATGAAGTTCAGAACCTCTCACCGGTTTGGACTGATGGGGCGCAGCTTGGACTAATGGGAACGATCCTTGGACTAATACAGAACGAGCCAACCTTGGACTAATGGGACGATTTTACTTCAATTTAATTCAGTTCAGAACTGCTCACAAGCTTGGACAGAAACGAATGGGACGATTGTAATTAAGTTTTTTCACCCCTTTTTTCTCGGACTTTTATGCCTGCACGACATGATCTGGTTGGGTCGGCTGCTACCCCTACCAGTACCGGATAAAGTCAGGCTTTGATTTTGTGATTTGGGGCAACGCGCAAGCAAATGCAGGCCCGGAAAAAGTCAGAAAGCCAGACCGAAGTCAGGCCTGAATCATAATCCCTTCCCCCAAATAAACGCTGCCTTGCGACACACCATTTGCAGACATTATGTCGCTTTTTGCTATAGTTCGGGAGCCACTTCTCCAAGTAAACGCTGGATTTTCAAGTGCCGATATTATGCTCTTGTTTGCGCGTTTCTGATTTCACTTCCCCAGTCAAACGCTGGATTTATGAGACATCAAAGAAAATCCGTTAAGTCGCCGTGAACGGGCCGTTCCAGTACCCAAGTTATACTACCAGAAAACAAAAATCCATCGACTCAATCGCCGGGAACGGCTGTTCCAGTACTGACGTTGCACTACCTGAGCATGAAAATCCGTCAAATCGCCAGGAACGGCAGTTCCAGTACCAAAGTTGTAGGAGACATAAAAGGAAATCCATCAAGTCGCTGAGAACGGCATTCCAGTAATTAAGGTGTACCATCAGAGAACGAGAATCCATCAAGTCACTGGGGACGACCGACCCAGTACTTGAGCTGTACTACAGTCTGAGGCCTTAGTCACATCAGTTTTCGTTTCCACTCAAGATTCTCTTGAGACGGATCGATGCGACTGGGTCACATCATGGTCACATCACCTATCAGTTTACTCTGCAGAGAACGCTATGGGATAGAATTCTTCGTAGAAGCGAAATGCGCTAAAGCCCTGAGAGGGCGCTAGGATTTGCAAGAGGATCCATAGCTTTAACTGGATTTTTTGGGTCATCCTCGGTAGCAGCTGGGAATTTCCATCAGAGTGCTTGTGTTGGTAGATAAGATTTCTAAGGGGATCCATTGTTTTTGCTACTTGTAAGATTTTCAGCGTTTTCCTTGTTAGCAAATGGGAAGTTCCATCGACGGAAGCTTCTTGGTAGATAGGGTCAGGCGTCCGCTGAAGTCATGGCAGACCCTTTGCTTTGACGCTTTTCCCCATGCACGCAGATATTTTTTTACGAGGCCGTCTCAAGGACGTTGCTGGACCTGTGCGTCCGAAGACACAGACCACGCCCGGGCCTTGGCAACGCTGCCGGCCGTGTTGGGGGGACTCGGTCTCGAGTCGGCCACTCGGTCGGCTCCAGCGGTGTACTGGGCTGCATGGGCGGACTCACTACCCGTTTTCGCGCGGTGCTTGGCCGACGCTGAGGCAGCTAGGGCACCACAGCAGACAGAAGGCTGGGAACCGTGCCCCCACTGGCAAGCCTTCCAGCGCCCCCTAACGAGGAAGCAGGTCTCGGTGACTGGCCGCGTGGCTGGCAGTTCCACACGTCGCGTACACGCAACCTTTAGTTTCGCGACCGCGTCTTGCTGCCAGCTCTGCCAGCCAGCCACCGCGCGCTGCTCCGATCGCAGGCGGGGCCGCACGCAGGAGCATGGCTCACCCATCCCTAGCGAGGCTGCCACGACGCTGTCGTCAGATGCCATGCAGCTGGTCTCACGCTGGCGATTGCGCATGCCGTTACCCATCGCGGGCAGGATCTCTCACAATTACTGAAAGCACCGAGCTTGTTTGCGACCATGCTCATCTCTATCGACTGAGCCACCAGGGTGGTGGTTGCCCCTCAGCAGTCCGTGCTCGTCCTCCCAGTGTCCACACGCGATCGGCACGCTCGCGCATACCCCGGCCCCGTGTTCGCGTCCAGCCAGTATGCTGTCACTTGCACCCTGCCCAGCCTTCTTCCAACTTGCCATGCCTGCTTCACTCCTGCTTCCAAAGTTTCCACCCAGAACACCTGACTCCAACATGGTTTTAGATTAGCGCTGTGCACGGGGACTTGAATGCACGATGCTTGTCAAGCCAGTGTCCACCTACTGTCTGCGAAGCAATCATGCGAACATAATCCTATCCGTGCGCACTGTGCGCAAGGTGTTCCTGTGCAAGGCATGGAGACCTTTGTTGCAGCACTCTGAGGGACTCTATCACTGCTACGTTTTGATGAGTTCTGTAACTTCCCACTAGCAGAGACATGGTGACATAAGATTGCTAGGTCAAGTCAACCCCAAAGTGTGGCAGGCCAATGAGTCCAGAGTTTGCCCTTGCAACTGACAGTCAGCAAGTTGCTTTTGTCTGCCTTGCAGCTCCCCAGCGTCTGTACATTGTGGAAAACTCGAACCTAAGCCGCTTCCAGCCGATTCTGCGGCCGACAAGCTAGGACGAGGAAACTAATTAAAGGACCATTGTCATGCTGGTAACAGTTCAACAGCAAAGAAATTTACAGTATCTTACAGCTCCATGCTCAGAAATGGAGGCCTTCGCTTTCATGCATTTGAGGCATTGACATGGCAGCGCAGTCTGGCCTGATCAGAGATCAGCATGGCTGGAAAGGCAGCGCCGCTTTGCCTCAAACAGAAGGGCACATCAAGCCGAGCGCTGCGCCAGGATTTTGATTCCAGGATGCCAATGCTAAGGGCCAGGCACTGCTCACATGTGGCCTCCATCTTGCACACCTGTGCGGGGTGCCACCTAACTTCCATCTTGGTCGCTGCTCGGTCTACTCTTGCGCCCGTGGCAGCCTTCGTTTATGATCTTGCGTTCGCGGCCGCTGGGCTGTCTCCTGGTGGATCAAGGCTGTTGCAATGGAGAAGTATTTGTAAAAGTTATTGCGCCATCCGCTCTTTTGGTGCTTCACGAATGTGCAAAACCCACGCAGAGCAAGAGTGCCAGGAGACTGCCATGAGCGAAGTGCTTGATGCTCTGGCAAGCATTCACCACGCACGGCTCAACTGTGCTGGCAGTTTCGAACCTGCGAGAAGAACGCGGAACACGTAGAAAAATGCAGGGGGACTTCCAAGCTGCAGGTTGGACGGAGCGAGCCGAGGATTCCTTAATACCTGCTCACGCCATGGTCCGCCGCCCTGCCTCCGTGGCATGGTGGCTATCTTCTACTAGTAGTTTAAGTTGGGATTAAACGTTTGCACCCCCACCCCCTTGTGGTTGTGGCCTGTGGTCTAGGTGTTGTGGTTTACAACTGGTTTACATTAGTCGTATGAAGGGTTATAGCGTCTGTAGAGGGAATAATATGGTTTTACATAAGGTCTACAAAAGATGAGAACCACGTCGATCCTCGTGACTGTGACTACTTTTAGGATACAACTCCAATGATATTGTTGTCGCATACGATGAGGCTTTAAAAGCCATTGCGGACCCCCCGATCCCTGTGAGTGTTGGTACTTTTGAAACGCGATGAAAGCATGAGGGGCTGAAAGTGACGACGGTTACAAGGATGGCGGCATTGGAGGCGATGCAAAACGACAAGAGTTACGAGGATGGCAGCTGGGACACGAGCAATGCTTGTGACTGTTGGCACCTTCAACGCATAGGGCGGTGGGGAAGCATACCATTGGCAAACGGGGTTGGAAATGCACAGCACGGGAGCAACAATGCGCTCTGCATCTATTTGTACTGCATCTGCAGGCCGCTTCTGTTGCTGCACTTCTTCAGCTTCTCATCCGCCACCCACAAGCAAATTCCATTCCAGTCCTGCTTGAAAGCTGCGATGGCTTTGCGCACCCCAGCTCGCAGGACCTGCCAAGCATTTCGACTTGCTTGCCGCATGGCACTGGTTTTGAGTACTTGTGCTGGCCTCCTCCGTGGACAGGTCGAAAGCTACCAGGGAGAAGCTCAGAAGCACCATGTCCTGGCGCCGTGTTGAAATGCTTTGCCCAAGGATTTTTTGCAGTCTGTTTCACATCATGTTACGAGGCATGCCTTAAAAGGTGGGTCACTGGTCAAGGCTTTGAAAGTCAAGATTTCTACGGATGATGTAGCAGTACCAGATCTCGCAAAACAAACGAAGACATGTCCCAGTGACTTCCCTGACTACAGGGCAGCTGCTGTCTTCAACCGATTCATGCTATCTCCTCATGTTCGATATCACGTGTGATAGTAAAGGAAAAGGCGCTCGCCCAGTCAAATAACTATACAAGTGCGGCGACTGTGCAAAAAGTAGTTTGTGCATTGTGGTTCTTCATGGTTCTTTGCTTTTTGTGAAAGGCAGGACTTTGGAAGTCTGGTGGAAACTATGTGACCTCATGGTCACTGCTGCAAACCGAGGTCCTCATCCGGGTCATTTGTCCAGGCTGTGCCCGCCATTCCACCCCAGCCTCAGGCTGAAGCTCATGAGGTTCAGGGCGTGAACATGTGGGAGGCGGCGACCATACTCGCCAGGCCGCAATGCCTCACATCTCAACCGATGCCACATGCTTGCAAAAACTCTCGCAATGCGCAAGGCAAAAGCCTCCTCCAGGGCCGGGTGCTTGACCGAGACCGACTTAGCGAGTTCTTGATTCCATGATTGCATCCGGCAGGGTTGCAAAATGTTGCCAACAGGTGCCGCACCCCAACAGGCCCGAAACCAACCCCTGGGGTTCCGAAAGCCCAGGTGTCTTCGCGGCCTACACAGACGTTGGCCAGAGGTATACAAAGGTGAACAACAGGGAGCGCATATGTCGCACAGAGGTCCTGAAGCTGTCGGCAGCTGATTTGAGCAGAGCAGATCCACAGTCTCGGACCTGGTTGGACCAATATGCCATGAACTGCGTGCTTTGCCTTGCTTTGCAAGGTTGCGTTGACCCTTTGCTTTGATTCCCAGGTTGCTTGTATTTTCCAACTCTCTCTGACAAAAATACAGTCTAGGCAAACCCACAGCATGCAAATCCAAGTCTTTTTTACGCTTCGTGCAAGCATTCATCATTTGACGAAGTTGGCGGACCATGTCAGATGCCACTGCAGCCACCCTTGATGGGGTGTTTTGTGTCGTAGCGACACAGGTTGTAGGTCGCGTTGAATCGGCACCTGAATGGAACTAAGGTTGCTGTCAAAGCCATGGTAGGCAAGAGCCTTCAGCATAAGGCCCGAACGACACGATTTCAACAGCCTTCGCCCCCTTCTTCCCCTTGGCCCCTTTCTCAGACGTGTACCTCGGGGGGCCACATCAGGCTTGATGTCCTTGCTGTCGAAGACATCACTCTGCTGCTCGCTTGGCCCCTGTCTTTGTGAATTTCTTTTCACATGTGTCAGCCGTCATGGAGTTGCCTGACAGCCAACTGTCACTCCGAATCAAGCGGGTGTTCTCTGCAAGAGCTCCTCAGACTTTCTCCAAGTGGCAATACTCCTGCTCGCCCAACGGTTCCATGTTTTTGCGGACATGATCACACTTCTCGCTTTCGCAGCAAGCCTGCCAAGAAAATCATCAAAAGAAGGTTTGCGACATTTGCATTGTGACAGCCTCATCCGTGTCTCCAGGAGTTGTAGCGGCGTCGGTGATTTGCATTAGCCCCTTTGCAGGGCTGCAGGTGTAGCTGCTGCAGGCCTGAGCGTCAGTTGCACGCCAAGAAAAACAAGGCGCTCTCATGAGTTGGTTTCGCACCGGCAGGCAGCAGTCGCTGCTCTCCAACTTGTCTCCAGTAACATTATCCTTGGAGTTCCTGCGCTTGCAATGCTCGAAGCGCGTCAACGTGGACATGCTGCGGTCCCTTGTTGAAATGTCGGTCCCGGGAGCCGGAAGCCAGCCCTCTGTTGCATTGCAACTGAACTGCTTGCATGTAGGAAGGCAGCACTGGGTCACGTTGTCGCCTCAGAGATCAGCCGAGGCATCAGACCACAGGCAGAAGCGCTATCCTCTTGTAAGGGGTAAGACATTCGCCCTATCTACCATGCTGAGTCTGCTGCCAATGTCGTTTGCCACAGATTCCCAAGTTGCCCAGCCAAGATCAGCAGGACACTCGAACTGCTTGCAGGTCTTCAGGCAGCAAGCCTGAAATTCAAAGTCACACAATGCGGTGTCCATCATTCAGCTGCGCTCGTGCCTCGTCAGAGTCAGCAAAGTCATCCTCCTGCAGCGCGGCAGCACAACTTCACTAGTTAATGTAGCTACGAAGCAAACAGCTGGGCCACTGCTCATCAAACTGTAATGTATATGCTCTTTCTAGATGCTTGACACTGCAGGAATTCATGGAAGATCATCCATGCAGGATATCCACTCCGTTTTGCGACTGTAGCAGAGGTGGAAGGAGCCATTCAGGAGGCCTAAGTATGCCCCAGTGTGACCCGAGAGGAACGGCCAAAAACTAACACCAAAGTCTTAAAGGTATGGGCGAACACTAAAGTCATAACAAAAGTAGCTTCGTTAACACTGCTTCGTTAACACTCCTGCAAGGAACCTGCCATTACGACAAAAAAAACAAAAAAGTTTCTTCATGTAAGCGCTGGCACATGCAAGCTACCGAAAGTCATCGAAACATGGGTTTTGAAAAGCCTTAACTGCTGTGGCCTTCGAGACGTCTGCTGCCCAACCATCGCTGCATTTGTGGGCTTTGCACTGCTTCTGGCAGCACGCCTGCCGCACCAAAAGCAAAGCTCCAGAGCACTCAAATTGGCAACTGTGTCCTGCCTCCGTCTTATTCTCGTCTTCCGGCTTCACCGCCATGCCAGCAGGACAAGTGACATGCGCCGAGTTGCCGCACAAAGGAGTGCAGCACTCCTGCCAAATACTGAAATCCGATCGCTGGAACAACATTATGGCTCTTTGTGGTCCGGTTTGATACTTACACAGGCGTCCTCGACAGAATTACCAACGATCAGGGCTTTGCTCGCGTTCGCTGTCCAACCAGCAATGGAGCAGTTCACAGCTGCACCTGTGAAACAAAAAAACAAGCTTACCTCATACTCCAAATCCTGTGTCTCTGTGTCTGTGGCAGGTCTGGTCGCAGCAATCCTGCACCGCCAAGGGTCAGGCACGCCCCAGAAGCAACATGTGCTGGTTTCCGAAATGCATGCTGGCCTCAGGGCTGCTGGACACCTTGCTTGCCAAAGCAGCTGGCTCTATGACGCCAAGGTCCGGGTCAAAAAACTCATTTCCACGCATGGCTACGAAAAGGATAACTATAGAATGCCATCGTCCAGAAATCCCTCCTGGCCCTGTCTGGAGATTGAGACAAGAACGGAAGTAATTGGCAAGCAAAAAGATTAGGCAAGACTCACAGCATAAACCTCCTCATCTGTAAGTGGACAAGCCTCCTTCATATTTGCCGTGCAAGGGATGCAAGTGTTTGACCTTGACAGTTTGCTGTTTGCTCTGCATTCCATCATGTGGGGAGATTACAAGGACAGCAAACAATCGCGGATGGAGTGCTATGGAGTGCTGTTTTGTACTCATCTGTGCTGTGCTTTTGCTACATGTTCAGTGCTCTGGCCCGCGACAGTAGGGCTGGACCAGCCTAGACTTACGGCGCAGCTTGGGCAATCCCAAATGAAACGGATCAAAGTGTTTTATCAGAATAGCAGTTCGGCGTTGGGTGGGATTCATGGGTCTTACACTCGCCCCACTTACCCTCGCCCCGATTTCCCCATTCCCCCCTGTGCCCCAGTTCCTGCTCGCCCCCTTGCCCCACTACTTGATCCACTTGCCCCGCTGGCCGCACTTCCACTCCCGGGTTCGGACCCCACAAGTAACTTTTGTAGAGGCTCTGGAGGGGGGTGGTTTGGAAGGTGCCAGACTGTGGGGGCAAGCGGGGCAGAGTGGGGAGTGGGGTGAGTGAGGCAGTGGAAACGAGTGTGGTAAACCTAGGGCAATGGAACGCGAGGGCCAGTGGGCCAAGTGGGTCGAGCGTCCCGCGTGGGCAAACGTCAAGTGGGGCGAGTGGGGAGAGTGTGGCGAGTGGGGAAGGTGGGCGGTGTTTATTTTCGCCTGCGGTCGCAATGAAAAAGAATACAAGTGACATCAGGGATGATGATAGTACCACTGGCCATGCTAGCAAGGGAAAGCAGTATAGTAGTAGTAGTAGTAGCAGCAGCAGCAGCAGCCGCCAAGGCCAGGAGGGGGAGAGGCGCTCACTTCTTTGTTTTCCTATCGGCTTTCGTCTTCTCCTTCTTTAGGCCCTTTTCTTTGTCCGAAGTCTTCCACCAACCCTTGCCTTCCTGCCCTTTGCCTTGTCCTTTTCATGGGGTAATCTCCTTTCGGCCCTGTTCCAACTTCGCCACACGTCTGGCGTGTTTCTAGGCCGAGTCTAGCGTCTCGACTTCCAAATGTTGGCCGTCGTCCAGTTTCAGCTTTTGGCGGCCACTTCCTAACGCCATGATCCTCCCCGCAAAGCAGATCCGCGCACCTCACCAGAAGGTAAAGCTCGTGGAGATCCCGAGAATGGGAGGCAAACTTCTCCTTCCAGAACAGCTGGAAGAATAATGTGAGTTTCACATCCCCCTCCGTTTTCACACGTCCCGAGCTTCTCGCAAGTCCTTGCTCCGTTTCCGAGAGCATGGACTGCGCGTGCGCAAGAAGCTTCTCCATTATAATTATACCGCCGTGACCTTTTTCTTCTTCTTTTTCCGCTTCCTCCGATTCACTTCCTCTGACCCAGCACGTCTTCTCTCCAGGTTCCGGGCCACAATTTTGGAGCCTCCTCGGCTTCCATCCGATTGACTCTCCACCTCCACCATCTCCTCTTTCACATTCGGAGGCGGAGCCCATGCCTTGCTGGTCAGTGCGGGAGGCTCTTGATCGACCCGAGCAGGGCGCGAGTAGAACTCAGCCCGACCATGGCTTTTAACCGGCCAGTCTTTCGAAGAAATCTGTCCCTCGACCAGCTCCGGCCCCTCCTGGCACTCCTTTGCCTCGGCCGGCCTCTTCCGCTTCTCTTCGGCTCTGCCTGCTCCTCTCATGGGGCCTTTGAGGGCTCTCAGTCCAATGAGGTGCAAAGGGCATCGCTGTAAACCAGGGGCGGGCGAGCTCATCGCCATGGTACAAGGAGCCTTCAGGACGCTTGTTTGTCTGCTGATGCTTTTGTGCGCTCCGATGCCGAGGATCCCTTTTCTTGTTTTTCTTGGACTTTTTTTAACTTAGTCCTGTCACGCTTTCGATCACCACCACTATCCTCAGCTTCAACCACCCTCTCAGCAGGAGCAGGGACACTCGGGGAGAAAGCCTTGGCGGTGGCACGCAACTCCCCAGTAGGCTCAACCTTTATGACCTCCTCCGGAGTAAAGGACTCGCAGGTATGGGAGCAGTAGCGGCCTGGGTGGGAAGCAGCCACAGAGACCTTGCCCGCACCTGATTCAAAGGGCAGAGCTAACGGCTAGGATTCCCTCAATAAGGTGGACAAATGATTAACGACGCTCACACTAAACTTCGTTACGAAGATCATGGGAGGGCCCTGGGTCCCCTACACGAAACGGAGGATTCGCTGATTTACTCACACACCAACATGAAATACGCATTTTGACCCACACCCCTCCTGGCTTAGCAAACTTCATCAAACTTCTGAAAAGCGCTACAACATGCAAAAAACATCAAAAAACTAGCATGGTTGCAAACAGTTGCAACCTGTCGGGAGTCCTACCAACAGGCTCCCGCTGTGATTGGCAGAAAAAATCAAAAGATGCGTGGGCGCGGTTAATTTTGCTCTACGGGCCCCGCTTGATTTGCTTCCTGACTGCTTCCTTCGAGCCGGAAGGTGCTGGGGGGGTTGCACGGTAAGACACAAACGTGCGAGCAAGCATTTGCCTTTGTGGCACACTTGAGAAACGCAGATTTGGTGGTTCACTTCTGCTTCTTGGATGGAGGGATTGCAAATACCGAGAAAAAGACACAGGACGCATCATGACAGCCGAGATCTTTGGCTCCATCTGCGCATGACTTGCGTAGCCAAGCCGCAACTTCCTTCTTGGCCGTGCTCGTCGCCCAGGGAGCTTTGCACTCAAACAGCTCACACTTTGGCTTGCAGCAGTCCTGCGCACTGTGACATAATGTGACTCTGATGAACACGTGGCTTGACATGAAGTGCCATCCTCCTTGCTCACGCCAGGGGCCGTAGCATCAGCTAAAACGTATCCCACATCACACTCGAAATCTGACCTTGTAGCAAGATTGCCCTTGGGAACCTGGCTGTGGCTGGAGATTGCTCCAGCAGTGTAGGTGCGCGACCCACACATCTTGTCGCAGCACACTTGCGGGGACTCTCCAACATTTCCCCAGTAAGCCTTCGTACCAGAAGTTGCACACGTTCAGTTTGGAAAACTAAAGCTCTCGTCAGGGCCTCGTTGGGACGATAGACGCCAGTACATGTGAAAAGCTCGCAAGACTTTTCCTGGGTCAGTTCACCGATGCCATTCCGATCCAGAGCTTGCTCATGTTCTAGCATCGCCCGTCTAAGCGCCTGGCACAGCAATCCGAGACCTTGTTCCCGGTCAATGTGTGGTGATTAAGTTTTGGTCTCCAAGCGCTAGGACACCTGAATGCGACACACTTGTCATCGGTCTCAAGCTCAGCATCAAAGCAGCCGGGGACCAGGCTGCATTTTATCGCAGGACTGCGGCCTGTCACTTTGCGCCTGCTGCTACAGAAAGCTTCAGCGAGCTGGAGTTGAAAGGTGGTGTGGGTGATGTGCATCATTTGCAATGCATAACTTCATATCTTCACATCTTTGCACCAGAAGGAGAGAGCAAGGTCTGACAATGCAACCTTCCCAGCACTCCGCAGAGTCAGCTTCTTTGCCAAAGCAACAGCTAGCAGGGCAGCACAGAGGATGAACTTCATTGCAACCTGAGCTGGCTCAGCAAGCGCATGCAAGGGCAATGAAAATGCTCACCATGCAAGTCAATGCAACTGATCGCTTCAATGGCTTGGGCGACGGCCGAGGGGAGCACAGTCTGTCGTGGGTGCTACTCACTCCAGATGGACTGTCCCTTCTGGTCCAAACAGCCACACGAACATGAAATTAAATGTCGTCGTTTGCCGCACCGTATCGCTGTAACTGGGTCTTGCCGACACACCCTTTGTTTCTTCTTTGCTTGCCTAATACTGATAAATACTGATAAACTCATCCGATCAGGTGTTTTACGCCCTTATCGTTGCAGTATTGCAGGTGATCCTGCTGCCCATTTCAATTGCTGCCTATTCCAGACATGCCATGCCAAACCTGCCATAAAATCATATCATCATATCACCGCTTGTATCCTCTTCAGCGCACTATGTCGAACTGTAGGTAAGGGACGTCAGAATGCGGGTGCCGTCCAGCTCCCCCTCAGGGAAACTGCACTGGTGCGCCATGGACGTGTGCCTACCGCATGCCTTCCGCAGCAGCATGAGGCAGAAGCGCGCGTAGTCCTTGCACATGAGCGTGCTAATACCAAGGCAAATAGGAATATGCCGATGATGCGCCATGCGGTTGCGAGGCCCGGTCAGCTGCGGTACTGACCATGCCCCCAGTCATTGAGTCGACACTGCCCCCACCTCCATCGTGTGCGTGAGCTATGGCATCCACATGTCTCTTCACAAAACTGCCTGGCATGCACCATATTATGATTTAATTCGGCTTTCTGTTGTCCTGCGACTATGGTCTTGCAGAGCGCACAACTGCGCACGACTTTGCTGAATTCAAGCTTCGGAGAGAGTATCCAGGAAATGCAAAGTGGATGAAGACTTGCCGAGTGTTTCCTCTCTGCAGCGACCTCTTGTGATTCCGCAAGCGGCGCTTGCACTATGAACTTCTTCTGCTCATGACATTCAGGGTTCAAAGATTGGATCACTGACGCCGTGCGTGCGCCATGAAATCTGCCTTGGCCCAACCACTCTCCTTTGCTTAGGCTCAGGAGCCTGGGGCTTCCCACAAACCCTCAAGAAGCTTTATGCCAAGGGTTCCCACTTCACTTTGTCGGGTTTGGCGCGGAAGTTCTGAGACTTCGCTTCACTACACACCATCTTGATATCTTTGTTCTTGGAGCGCTCTCAGAGCTCTTTTACTGCTGGAAAGCTTGGGTATGTTTCTCAGGGCTGCTGAGGTGCTTCAGTATGGCAGCCACAGGCTGCAGCATGACTGCACGCGAAAACCCTTCTCGCACGTTCCTCTGAAGTTGCCGCTCGTTTTCCACTGCTCTGATTTCCAACCTCTGTATGACCATGATAAGGGCGTCAAGCCTTGCACGTCGGTCAACTAGCTTGTCTGTCGCACTAGCGGCCTGACAGGATTGGGCTTGCGTTGCCGACAATCCACCTGAGCACGAACATGCAAGCCATCTCCACGAGAAGACGAATTCCTACCTGGAAGCTGCATCTCTGCCATTGGCGGACTGGCATTAATTGAATCCAATGGCCAGCATAGCAAATGCGCCTTGTTCCAGTTCTCTATAACATTGATCGACAGACATCACAGCCTGAGGATTCTGACTCATTGGCTTCCACACTCGGCGCATCCTTAGCTGTCTGCGTGCTCCACGCCTACCTGTTGCTGGCCATGTTGGCAGGGATTTGGGACTTGGGCAATCCGCACAAGCCTTTGCTTGAACTCCCCATCCTCATGGAAACGGTACCTGACTCTGACTGAAAGCAGCTTTATGGAAGCCCTTGAGCAATATGCACTAAAAGGCTGGGAGCATGACATTGCAGCTGTGCGATGCCACCTTGGCCGCTTGTCCGACATTCTGACGCTAAGAAGCCAAGATCTGTATGACTTTGCTGCCCAAGCACTTGCTGCGAGGGATTTCAAAGCCTGTGTCTACCTTGGCCACTGAAGAGCTACCAATGCTGCAGCACGAATCTGAAGCATGGCGGGCACCATTCCCAGGGGCTGCGTGATGCGCTCTGCAAGAAAGGCATCGAGGTTTCTTCCTGTAGCAACCTGCAATCTCACTACATCGCACGAGAGCTGAAGTGTGTTACATGTTCGTGCTGTGTTGTCTTCAACCCGGCTTTGCCTGTTGGAGTCTCGAAGTAGTACAAAGCTCCCTTGTAAACATCGACTCTAGACTCTAGAGCTGGGCTACAGCAGTACTATTGCAAACTAACGCGTCGCGCGCCAAGCACTGCAGATGGTAGCGTTTGGAACATTCGGATGGAAACATTGACGGTTGCAGCATGTGTGAAGAAGTGCTGCAAGTACTAGCATGAGCAGGTGAATGAAGACACCCTCCACATGCTGCATGTTGACAATGTGCAGCTTTTGGGGCAACAATACGCAGGCTAACCTCAACAAAGACCCGTTGCCAGATAATATTTTTTCTTGACGAGGAGCAAGAAGCAGACTAAGATACTTATCAGATTGAGCAGGAAAATACTAAGGCAGCAGTAGCAATCGGTAGGGCTGTGCTGAGGTCTCAAAGTGCGACTGCGAGAAATTATACGGCGCCACTAAGCTGAACCAAGACGTAAGACATGACCAAACAGAAGGTCTCAAAGTTGCATGGCCAGGGCGGTCCGAGACACTCTGAGATGCTTCACTGAAAACAGAAAGCCGATCACCGGGGCAGGACAGTCCCTGCTTATGCAAGTACGAATACCAAGCCTATAAGGGACTTCATCACTGTTGTCCACCACATAAGCAGACTGAACAATGGCAAAATATGACAAAGGAAGTGGTTGCAAAAAGTTGGACCTGTCTTTGGTGCAAACAAAACTGTCCACCCTAGGAGATCCTGTGAGTTGAGGCCGTTCGAAGAATTCTTTTTTGTACATCGCCTTAAACGAGAAAATGCATGGGCTCTGACCTCTGCAAGCAAACCGCGAATAGGATGAGAGGGAGTCACGTGATTGACAGGACTTGACGGGGGGTTTATACGATTCAGAGCCCACCTCGATAATTCGTCCCACCACATCATGGCTATAGGAGTAGAGCCACCTTTGCGGCGACCGAAAAAAGCTGCAGCAGCCATATGAGTAGTGTTTTTTTGGTGGTTGAACCTAGTAAGATTATATTCCTTGTGTAAAATACTATGCCCAAAGGAGGATAGAATCTTACTCTATATTGGGTACCATAGTATCCCAAAATAAAATACTACTCATATGCGGCCACGGGAAGAAGGCTGAGGACAGGGCTGAGCGCCAGGTTGATGCTGCAGGGGAATTTTGGCCAACTCTTGGCACCAGTGTTCCAGGCTTCGGACCTTAAAGAGCCGGATGTTACCGATGTCACCGGGCAAATGCCAATGCAAGGCTGAGGATGGCTGAGGTCTGTGCGGCTCGGACATCATTCGGGGAGGTTCTGCCCAGGCTAGCTCGCTGAATGAGCGCGAGGAATCGCTCCTGCATGCAGCTTTTTGACTGCAGTACGCTGCTCTGATCAGATCTGTGCTGAACGATGCGACATCAGATCCCACAGAGCCTCCGCTTCACATTCAGGCTCATCGCCCAGCATAGGACCTTTTGCATCTTTTTTGAATGGGATGGCTGCGTGAGAACTCTTCTAAGCGCTCGGTATCTCTGATGGGTCGGACCGTAGCCGATCCCAGACGTGTGCGTTAGCAGCTGCAAAACCTTTGCTAAGCATGATCGACATGCAACGCAAACTTGTCCAAGGATGAGATTCAACCAGTAGTGGGCTGAGGTGGTTGCCGTGACGGGCTTGTTGGCTGGCATGACGTTCCCATCCTGCACCAAGCAGTGCTTCAGAATCACCGACTGAGTAGCTCAGCACCGTCCTCCGACTTGACTTGGACTTCAGCAAATTCGGGAACAAACCTTCGCACACAAGTCGCACATTGTGTGCAGAAAATGTACAGGAAGAAGTGCCAAGACCGGAGGTCCGAGCTTGTACACCGGATCATCCAGTTGCACCAGCCCCTCCTGGCAGCATCTGGTATTCTGTTGTCAATACAGTTCCCAAGTGCACTCAAAGTCAAGGCCTCTAGGCAGATACCGAGCGCCACTGAAACAATGCACTTGGTCATCGAGTACAGTCGAACAATGGTATCAGGGCGCATAGGAACCTTGCTGCAGTTTGGTTACATTCTGAGCTTACTCATACGAAGCTCTCAAGGCCTGACGTTCCAGGTCAGCATAGCCGTATGAGTCCATGTGCGCAAGCACACCATGCCTGACAGGAGCGTGTTATCTCTGCACTGGATGAAGAGCCGCAGCCCACCTCAGCACGACACCTGGGCTAGGGAATCTCAGCTTTACAACACGTAGCTGTACACTGACAACTGTTCTGCCATATTCTCCCAAGTCTGCGCTCTTTCCCGTCGGCTGGGTTTGCTCGCGTGCTTCCGAAACTACCGCTCTTTTTGGGGTTCCATTTTGGGGCACGCCTTGTGAAGTCTTTCCTTTGCTACTTCCAGGCTTCTCTTCTGGCTAGTTGTCTGAAGCCACACGAATCAAAGTAAAAGTTCTCCTTCCTCAAAAGAGCATTCCATCCAAGTGAAGCTGGGGTTTTGGATTTGGGTGCGCTTTATTGCTTGAGAGGGTGTAGGAGTTTGGCGGTTAGGGTTCAGGATTGCAGGGTGAAATTAAAGCATCTCATGTAAGGTCGGGATGACTCGGGGTGTACATCAACGCACCTTTTACATGCTTTTACGCTAGAAAGGATTCAGGCGTTTGCGGATGCATGGGGATACACGTTGTATGGTTTGCGGAGGTTCAGGGTTCTGGGCTTGTGTACAAAGCTCGCACTTGTTGCGCTTTAACAGGTCTCACTGTTCCGCTCAGGAGACGAAACTTTGTCAGTCGGATGCACCGCGGGCTATGCAGTATACCTGAACTCTTTCCGGAAATGCTATCTGAGCTACTCGTACCTCAGTTTTTGCCCAGCCACCTCCTTGCAGCGAAAACCACTATGACGGAAGAGGTTCTCCCTCAACATGATTCATCTACCGACAAAATGTGCCGCCAGTGCTCTAGTGTCTTTGCAGCCGAAGAGCTGATAACGCCAGGAGCCTCACCACTGCTCACCTTTACAGTTCAGGACGGCGACGTCCAAGACTCCAAAGAGGCGGTTGGAGCAAGCTGCATGCTGCCTCTCCAACCCAGTCTGTTTCCTCCCAGGCCCGCCCCTTCTCCACCCTCGACCTCCCTTGCTTCAGCTTCCGATTTGTTGCCCATGCTGGCAGAGGGCAGTAGTGGCAGGAAGCCCTTAATCCGGTCCGAAAGCACACAGGCCGTCAAGAGGACGCTGAAGCGGCCATTTTCGCAAATCTAAACTCAATATGAGCTGTTCTGAGAAGCCTTCTGATGCAAAAGCTCGTCCGTTTCTTTCATGACCTGCACCACGCTTCTTGCATATGAGAGAACGCCTGTCATATGAAGCAGGCCTGCGCGTTTAAACCCGCAACTGTGGGGCAGCTTCTTGAGGTCAACGAAATCAGGCCCCTGGCGACCTTCAGACAAACGCATGACAACTTGAGCACTAGGCCTTGTGCAAATACCAATGCGAGCCTGCCTGCACCACGTTTGACGTATCCTGCTTCTTTGGGACTTGTAGTGCGCCTACCTGGCACAAAGCAAGCATGGCGAAGTGGCCAGGCAGGCCTCCCAGGTCTACGACTAATTGCCTTCAGTACCGATGCACGCAGCGGCGTCGGCAGCTGCCGTACCTTTTCCCAGTGCAGCTTCGCGCTGCATTGCAAGGTCACAATAGCGGAAAGAAACGCAGAGAACTGAGTCCCTGTGTGGTTCCAGCAGTGCATGTATCAATTGTGCGAGGGTCCAATACCACATCTCAATGAACCCGCTACCGGTACGACGTGAAGCAGATGTAAATTTGATTCAGGCTTTACAGCTCACAGATTTGGCACGGGCTCCTGAGACGCCGAGAGCTGAGGCTTCAGGTTTTTGGCGGCCAGCTGGCTCACCCAGTGAATCCGAAACACGAATGCATGTGATGCTCCTGCCTTGGAATGACGCTGAGAGGTGACAACATGGCCATCCCCCCCGTGCCTGCAGGCTGCAGGCGAGATGCAAATACTCTGTGCGCTCTCATGGACTTTGAGCACACGGCACGCGATACATCTTAGCAGCCTGGGCAGCTTTCGTAGTACGCATCTTCACTTCTAAGGAATTGACTCAGCCGGCCTTGCAAAGTGGGATCTTCTCGTCTCTGCACCAACGCGCATCGGAACAAAGCAACTTTCTGCATGCCTTAGTGGATTCCCTTGCAGTGCTGTGAAGGATGTCCAAAATGCTCACGGGCAAAGATGTGAACAGCTGCCAGTACGGGGGTTGTTTCAGGTCAAGATTGATTTTGCACATGCCAGAAACACAGCTTTCAGCCTTGCTCAATTAAACTTGTTTCACCTGTCTCAACACTGCAGTAATCAGTAACCAGTAACCAGCACCGAGATACTCCTTTCAGGATATGCCTCCGTGGCCTAGCTGGGTGCAAGCATAGCTTCCGCTCTGCCTGACATTCACTTCATCAGCTCTTCTTCGTAGCATGGCGTGGCCGACCGAAGCCATGCCTTGATGGCAGCCATAGCTTGGCTGCTCTTGGCTGCTCTTGGCTGCTTGGCGCCAAGCAGCGCTCAAACCTTGATCCCTTTATGTCTTCATCGCATTGCCTCCTGCTGAGCTCTGAGATGTTTCTAGATGTTGATCTGGCCCTGCATAGTTGTATTCTGCTTGACTGACTTGTTTTCCCACTTTCTCGATCTCTCGGCATGTGTGTTCCACACTTGCCAGGACCAGCGCAATGACCGCTGGAGGGAGGCCTCGGCTCGCGCCGTGTCAGGATACCGCCGCAGGACGCATCAAATTCACAGGCAGCCAAGACAGGCCAAGACAAGCCAAGGAACCCGGTCCCCACGGCCAACCCTCTAGCAATCTGAGCAATATTCAGCGAGATGTGCGCGATAAAAGCCGCAACGTTTTTTGCAGTTGCACTCTGACAGCGTATCCCATCCTTACATGAGCCACCTTGCCGCATCAAAAACTTTTGCCTCTGCCGCCTCTCGCACTGTCATGGCAAGTATCAGAGCTCCTGCTTCTTTGTCAACAAGACCTGCATTTTTGGACGACAGTGTCAGAAAGTGTGCCGTGATGTGCCATGTCTGGGAGCCAAAAATTCTAGAAATGCCTTCCTGGAGGCCTGTGTCTTCTTGATGCCTGCAGTAGAAAACTGTGTAAAGCCATGCTGCGCAGCTGCGCTTCATATGCATCGGCACCGTCTATTTAGTCTATTTCGTGCCAACAGGGTGCTTCGACCGGCCCCCTGCTGGACCAAAGACCTTGGCACCGCGGGGCCTGCACCCTAGCTTTCCAGACCAAAAAGTGTAAGGGCGGAACACAGTGGATGCCTGCACAACAATTTTGGCAGCGAGGTCAAAGCGCTCACAAAGTCTAAGCTGCCTCCTGGGACTCCTCTGCCGCATCGTCCACTGCAGCAGCAAGAGACGACTTGGCCGCAAGCGAGCCCCCTCCACTCAAGTCAGGAATGCCGCCAGTCCTGGCAAAAGCCGCGGCGACAGACTCTCACTCCCAGCCCGGCACAACAGCACAACTTCTGTAACTTGCGTCTCGGCGACCCTCGGTGATGGAGCTTTGCTGTGGCCTTCACGTGACTCCACTCTCACAACTGCTTGGAATGCTCTTGACAGGTGCTGACACACAGAAACAAGCAGAGCACGCCTGAAGCAGATTCAGGGCAGCGCCATCAGATCCGAGATCTCACAATGTGCTGCTACATGTTGATGCTCCCCCTCGTGATGAACTGCTGCCTTCAGCAGCAAGCTCTGCAAACAACGAGTCCTCCAAGAAAGCGTCCAGCGGCTGCAGCAGGGAGGAACAAGGCAAAAGATTTCCGGGCTTTGTGTCAACTTCATGCACTTCCGGTCTAAGTCTGTTATTTGGCGGGCAAGCCCTGGCAAACCAAGGTTTTGCTCCGCGGCCTGCTGAAGCTAACGAATTGCAAGGCGCAGCAGGCCTCGTCCCATGCTGCAACACCAGCAAATACCGCTCCGCTAAGGAGCGCCATGAAAGCCTCTCCGAAATGGTCTTGTTACTCTCACAAACGAATCCAGCGGCACATTCTTTTGCACTGCGACGAGCGGTCCTGCCTTTGAATGCCATGCCATAAACTGCAGCTTTTGCCAGTAAAGAGTAGGCCTCCTGAGTGGACCAGAAGCACATCGAGGACAGGATGCTTCAGGATCTAAAGTATTCTAAAGTAACAGTGTTTCAACTTGAAGCTCAATGCGACATGCAGCTAATACAAAACCACAGCCACACCAGATATGAGAATGATGACTTTCGGCAGCAGACGCTCCAGGGTGGTGGTTCCCCGACGGCTCAGAAAAGACGAGCCAGCAAGCGCTTCGAGAAACATGGCAGCATCATGCAGCAGCGCAACATGCAAAAACGACAACAAGAGTAGATCCGCACAAAGATCTGCTGCTCCTTTTTTCGTCGCGCAATGACGTAGTTGCTGTAGGGCGAGGGCTCTGCCGACCTGGGCAAGTCAAGTTCAGCTCACCTTGGCTGAAAACCCTGCCGTGCATCTTTCTACAGTTTCTGCAGCCACAGTAGCCATTCGTTTGGCGGTGGTATGTCAATCTCCTCTAACGGATCAGAAAAAAGAATGATTAAACACAGGCATTAGGTGAAAGCTTCGCGTATGCTGCGCTTCTGACCTCGAAGCCAGCACGCTTCAAATATTTCACCTGCCAGAGAAGTTCACTGCACTCGCAGACGCAAATTGCAAGTCAGTGATGTGTGAAGCACTTCGCCTGCGCCAAGGTGTCTCGCGGATCCGTTGCCTCGGTCAATGCCGCCGAACCGCAGGCTTTCAGCACAAGACTGCCCATTGACTGCTCAAAGGTCAAGAAATCGAAGATCCAAGAGTTTAGAAGAACACTGGACTGTGTATTGACAGTAACTGTGCGCAAGGCCAGCAGTACACGTCTGCTCCTCGCGAGCGTCCCAGCAGCGCTCCTGCAAATGCCGGATCAATTTGGCCTTCTGACAATGCCAAAGTATTCACCCAACCCTTCTAAAAAGGTCCTTAGCAGGTCTACAGAAGAGAAGGACAACTTCAGGATGTCGATCTTATCATAGCCAAGGCGGCTCACTTCGTCGTCAACACTTCTGGCGAGAGGATCACTCCCGGCGTTCACACCGCTTGCCTGGAGAATGCGCTATGAAAAGCGTCTGCAGTCCGGGTATCAAACACCAGGCAGGAGAGGTAAACAGAGCCCTCTGCCTCTCTGAACCAACATCTGCGGTCGTTTGAGAGGTGCACGTTGTTCTCCTGCTAAGCCCAAGGATAGGCACCGGGCAGCCTGAGCACGTCTCTGAGGTCTGGGCGATGTTGTCTTCACTGTGAACGTCGCCATGGTCTCGACAGTACCACTCCACTGACTCAGGTGAACTCGTAATCCGGCGCTGTAGAACCTGGACCTGCGGCAAGCTTTTCAAAGCTGAGCGGCACTACAGACCCAGGCAGCGCGCCTGCCCCTCGAAGCCATTCAACTTCACGGAGCGTCTTCCGGCCGTGACTGCTAAGTCGTCTGCCTGTTTCTAGATTCTAGACAAGCCTAGCCCGACAGTACCTAATAATTCCTAATACAACAAGCGCAAAAAAGCCTCCAGGCACGCAGCAGTAAGACGCCCGTGCAAGCGATGCCCAGCCCACAACAAACAGTCTGGAAGCCAGCAAGCAACCTGTCAACGCATCTGTGCAGATCTGGTTCTGGGTTCTCCTCTCACTCCTCAAACGGCTGCAACGAGCCTCGACTGCAATCAGCCTTGCTGAAGGATTACGGCCTCACCAACAAGACCGACTTCCCAAGAAAGTGAACGGCACAAGCCCGAACCATGAAGTGCAATTGGGCGGGCTTCCTACGGAATGCTTCGTGTGAAGTTTACACTGACTTGACTTATTACTCGTCGTCCCCGCGCTTGCGCAGAAAATGTTGCACAAAGCGGTTCGAAAGTGCCTTCATGTTGCAGCCAGAACTCCACCTCTGCGAAGAAGTCCGTGGTGCAGTGGAAGCGACCAATTTCCCGGTCGTGATCGCTGAGCGGCTCCCTGTAAGGCAGCACTATGTTCGGAATGGCCTCAAGCCACAGCCACAACGCTCATCTTGCAGAGGGCAAACCTAGACATCAGGCATCATCAGGCTATGCCTGCGGCGAGGGGAGAAAGCGCACCATATGCTGGGAAGGAAGCTGGCGGCCCATTGCTTGAACCTCTGCTAGGTCCGAGACTTCCAGATCTGCGAGAAGCTGGACGACAGGCCAATCGCGCAGACCCTTGATCATGTGTGGAAGCGTGACGGCAGCAGCCCAGGCAGACAGCAGATCCGTTGCCGGTTGCACCAGTTCTTGGATTTCTGCAAAAAGTTGGCTCGCTGAGAGGATTTCGCTCCGGAGTCGGATCTCCTGAGCGGCAGCCAACAGGCTGACCACATGTTCCAAGCGTTCACTGGAATGTATGAGCTGCACCACAACAGCTGACAGAGGCAACGGCCGCCGTGTTCTAACAGCTTTCCACAGGGATGTTTGCAGTTTAGACCAGTGCGCGAGCTCAGTAAAGTCATCCCAGATAACAGGCGAGAGTTCTCGAGGCCTTTTCTTTCGACGACCGGCAAAGGCCAGCAGTCCAAAAAGCCCAAGCTGGGAAGATAAAGACCCCAGCAAAGCTTGCGAGGTCAGGATCTCCCTTACCAAGACTGCCAGCTCACCCTCCCCAAACTCCCGAGTGCTCTCTCCATCGGCAAGTGCAGAAGCGTTCAAGAGTCGCACTGACCACGCTGCTGCCGCACAGCTCGGCAGTGGGGGCCATGCAGCGACCTGCCGCAACAGCTCGTCACGCGCAGCTGGGAAGAATTTTGCCCTGCGTGTTGCCAGCCGCCTCAAGTGGTAACCTTGCAGGCGCGAATTCCTTCTAAAATGATCTGCTGACCACCCTTCCACTTAAAAAAGTAGCAAGATCGTGATTTGGCTGACAGTCTCTCTCCTCTGGTGCAATGCTCTGCTTGACCATAACGAGAACCTACAAGCAATGCTACCAGACTGCCTTGGTTACCCAGCGCCCACTTGCGGCATGCCAGGCTCTGCCCGGGCCATCTTCCGCGCAAGCTCTCGACCGTCTCACCCGGCACCTGCGTTCAAAACCCTCCTAATCCTTGTCAGACTGATGCAATCTTCCACAGAACGCACTCCCCCAAGCGTTGGTGATCTATGGCCGCTGCTGATCATAAATGCTCTGAAACGAGGCTGTGAGTTGCTTTGGGACCCGGGATTAAATTACTAGACCCCGATCATCCCGAAAGCAATCAGTTCGATGTTAGCAAGGTTGCCGTGGTGTATGTGTGCAGTGCAGGTGTCCTGCTGTATGTGGGTGGTGCATGTGCTGTGATGTGGTGCGGTGTAGTTGCTGTGGTGTATGTGCGCAGTGTAAGTCCTGGATTGTCCTGGTGTATGTGAGCAGTGTAGGTGCGTCGATTCGAAAGACAACTGAAAGGACGTTCCCCGCGCCAGCGCTGCCACGCGCCGGAAACAGCGGAAGGGTCGTCAATTCGAAACATAGTTCTCAAGACGCTTTGCAGGCCAGCGCTGTTGCGTCGATTTGGAAGAGAATTCTCAGGACATTCACGCGCCAGCGCTGCCGCCCGCCGAAAACAGCGAGATGATCGTCGATTCCACACAGAATTCGCAGGACGCTCCACGCGCCAGCGGCGCTGCCGCGCGCCCAAAACAACGAGAAGGTCGTTGATTGCAAGCAGAATTCTCAGGACGCTCTATGCACCAGTGCTGCCACCCGCCGACAACAGCAAAATAGTCGTCGACTCCAAAAAGAATTTTCAGGACGCTCCATGCGCCAGCACTGCCCGCCGACAACAGCGAGAAGGGCGTCGATTCCAAACATGTCCAAACATAATTCTCAGGCCGCTCCACTCGCCAGCGCTGCCATCCGCCGAAAACAGCGAGAGGGTCGTCAATTCCGAAAAGATTTTTCAGGATGCTCCACGCGCCAGCGCTGGCGAGACGGCCGTCGATGCTGAACGGAATTCGCAGAACGCTCCACACGCCAGTGCTGCCACCCGCCGTAAACAAGGAGAGGGTCGTATGGGTCGTCGATTTAAAACCGAATTCGCAAGATGCTCCACGCGCCAGCGCGGGCAACCGCCGAAAACAGCGAGAGGGTTCGCAATCCACGTTCCAAATTCACACGGCGCCAAAGCGTTCGCAAGCCACGTCGAAAATTCGCACGGTGCCACAGCCTGAGCGCTCCGACACGCACGAAACCCGCAGAGGGGTGCATCCCGCTTTAGCCCCGCCAAACCTAGCCCGGGCTTGGAAATAAGAGAAATAGAATAGAAGCGTGTACGTGGTATGTCAGCGGTATAGGTGCTGTGGTGTGGTAGCGGTGTAGGTGCTGTGGTGTGGTGGAGGTGAGCGGTGTAGGTGCTGTGTTGCGGTGCTTCCAGGAAAAAATGAGATCAATTGCAAGTAAGATCATCTAGAATCTAGAACTAAGAGTGGATGATGCTGCCAACCATGCTTTCTTCATGCAACGCATTCCACACAAGAGTCTCCAGAAATCTCGATGGAAGTCTTCGAACAGCAGTGCCAGCCTGGACGAACTCCGCAGCCGCTGTGCTGACAAGCGTCAGAACCCAAGGCGTAGTAGGCATGAAGTGGGCCGTTCCAAAGCCACGAAACTGACCGCGCGTCGCGCTGCATTCTTGGGGCCACTGGCCGCTAGAACTCCGCCTACATTGCGAGCCTGCAACTAGAAGCTGAAGTTCCAGGTTCCTCTTGGCTCCACCGCGGCAGTGTTAGGACTGTTCATGCTTGTACAGAAGCTGTAATGCGCCGCTGGTGGCTCGGAGTCTGGGAAGTCTGATGTGGGTTTAAGGCATTTTCAGGTTCGGGCCATGTCTGTGAGCTGCGAAATGCTGCAGTATGGGCCCCTGCCAGCTAAAGCACACTGCGTTTGGCTGTAGCTTAGTGCTCAAATCAAGACGGCCCGCGTTAAACTTCTTTTTGGCGAAGCTAGCGCTTGGTGCCAGAGCATCTGGCCTCACATGAATTGGCTAGAGTATGCTAGAGTACATTATCAAGGCGGCTCAGGCAGGGCCTCCCAGCACACATTGAGACTGCAAGCTGTAGGATCTGTAGGCTCCAAGCAGGGCAGCGGCCTCATGACCTGAGCAGTGCTGTGTAAGATATGCCATGTTACATGTTGCTGACACTGCGTTCATGATCTGAGAAAATGCTGTCGAGCTTCTTTGAGCTTTGCCCACAGAAACGGCAGAACTTTGCATCTGCAAGGAGTTCGTTATTGCAGTTCGTGCAGCGACCGACCTGCAAACTGCTCAACATGATCTATGAGAAGGCTGCAAAGATTCGAAAACTTCAAACTTCTACATTTTCTCCACTTTGGCATGCAACAGGCACTGGCTGCTGCAGCGCGTACTCTTCGGGGCTATTTGCCTGCACACCTCTGTTGGCACCTCTTCTGGGATCACACGTGGCCGTTCATCACCGACTAGCAGAGCGGCATCCAAAGACGATGCCACTGTGCGCGAGACAGCCACAAGAGCTGGATGTGCTCTCAGTCTGCCAAAGCCCAGCAGTTCTCAGAGACATCTCGACGAGTCTTCAGCCGTACCGTAGTGGCAGTGCTGGCAGCACTTTGCACTTAGGCGCTCAGCATCGCTCAGATGTTGCACTGGCTAAGTGCCGCCAAGTTTGAACGCATCAGCCATCCTGGCCGCATGTGCCATGGAAGTGATCGACTCAGCATGACTTAACGCAACATGGCCTGGACCAAACTGAGCTCGGCGACGGCGACCCCTTTGTTCTCCTTCCAATGGTCGGAAGGCGGGCTGCGCGAACATCAGAACCGATCTCATTGATGAAATGTTTGCAGATCAGATGCACAATTTCACCGAAGCCACTGCTTTCAACATTGCAGCGCATGCTGAGCAATTCGAGCCCTGGAGGGCTGCTTCCGAACCAGATACGGCCCATTACGGCCCCTATTCTCCTCACGTACTGCCAAAATGCATGAAACCACCTTGTTGCTACCAGACTAGGCCTAGGCACTGGCGGGCAACTGCCGAGCTACTTGAGCAGTGAATCTGATGCACCTCGCTGAGGAGGCAGTGGCAAAAACCTTGGTGCCAGTCGCATTGCATTGCATTTAAATGAGTCTGTGGGGTCCTGACTTTCTGAATGATGCTTTTTCCAGAGGAAATGCTCGCGACACCTACGAGGCGTTTGTGCACAAGGTGTGGCTGAACAGCCCCCGAAGTTGTTCGCACCTGCTCCAGGCGGCTTTGCGACCTGAAGTGGAGCTCTACTCATGCCGTGGGGTGAGCTTGCAACAGCGCTGCGCCTTTGCATGGCGCATTTCTGCATCGCGCTTGGCTTTTCGCACCTTCTAAAACCAGACTTCCATTGCAGATTTCAAAAGATTTGATCGGCAACTTGGGAAGAATCATGTGGCTGCTGCACCTCGTCGGCAGGTTCAAAGAAGACCATCTGCGCTGAAGCCGGGCAGTTCAAGTTGTAGTCCCGAACTCTCTTGTTGAGGTGCGCAATCTCCCGCCGAAAGCGGTCCTGCGATGTACAGCGACGGAGGTCCTAAAAATTAATGAGATGCCAACCCAAGCCTTCTGAGTGACAAAGGCCGCTGTTGGCTCAAATCTGCTTGCTCTCCATGCCTCTGAAAGTGTCCTGTGCCATGCTGCAGGAGATGGTACGCAAATGACAGATCCAAAAATGATAAGCAGCAAGCAGCACCAGCGTTCGAAGAACGCAAATTTGCGAGAGACCCAGCACTATCCGCCGGAGATGGTGCTTGCAATTTTCATAGTGCTACAGGAGTAGCCTTTCCACAAGAGTCCTGTATAGTCCAGTCGCAGGTGCCAACGCCGTTCTAGTGCTCAAAGTTTTCCTTCTCTTGGTTGATAAAAGCTACGTTCAAGATGTCAGCGCTAGTGACGCCGGCATTACTAATGGAGCCAATGCAACACATGCAACACTGAAAAAGACAGAGAACAAAAGCACGGAAGAAGAGCTCTGCATTAGCTACCAGTGATTGCCAAAAAGAAGCGCCTTTGGATACTGCTGGGATAGGCCGAGCAGGGCCATCATCCAGAGCGCTGATCCGCGAAAAAAACGACACAAGCCTCGTCACAAGCCTACATAGAGGATATAGAGGCACCGGAAGTAGGAGAGTAGTAGGAGCAAAAGCGCTCTCCCACTTTGTACAAAAGCTATTGGTGGTACCACAAAGCAAGGCAAAAGTTGTATTGATGCCCATTGCAGCCTGGCCAGGTGTTCTGCGTCACGGTGAATTCGCTTCTGCTGCTCGATCCATTCCTGAGATCCAAAGGCAGCCCGGAAGCTTTGTGCCCTTTCTTTGGCAAGCTGCTGGTGCGTAGCCGTGCTTCTGCAGCAGGCCATAGCCAATCCGATCTGCTGGGTCCTGGGACACCGAAAGCCATGCGGGCGGGCTCATCCTATACTGCTCTCCAAAGCTCACAACGATTTCGTGAGCGGTCCAGATATGGGTTCTCGGCGCCAAGGAGGCTTTTCAGCGGCTTTCCCTTCCCTACATGCTGCACCATGCTGTACCAATGCCCGGACAAAAACTACAACATGCTGCAACGAACTCGGACAAATGGACTTGATGGCCTTCTAGATTGTCGAACTTGCCGTCTGCAACCGCAATTTGAATGGCCTCCTCGACATCCCGCTCAATTTCTTCCAAGTCACCTTATCCACCATTGGCTCATTTTTCTCCAACACTCTCTGACCCTCCAGTAGAGTACAGTAGCCAAGCAGCGATCGTCCGTGGCCGACCTAGGACGAGCAAAAAATGCTTGCGAGAGAAGCGATGAGAACTCAGCCAAATACAAGCGAAGGTACTCACTTTTTCCAGCACGGTAATCTGCTGCTGCCACAACACTTCTCTGCAGCCGGTTCCTTGCCAAAACGAAGTTGTTGGACATCTTTCGTTCATTAAATGCTGTGTCAAACGCTGCGTGCTGTGCCTTGCAGCACTCCTTTCCCGCTGGAAGACCGTGCGGCCGTCGGCGCCGTCGGCTGCCAGAAACTGCCTCTCGGCAATGTTGGAGCGCTTCACCTGGCAACCAACCTTTCAATTTACTTTGGGGTCCACCTCGTATGGATACATGTGATATATGAGCTCATATTGGGTGCGGGGAGTATCGGGAACCAGCTTGGCCGTAACGGGAACCAGTTTTCCGGGCTCGTAAGTCGAACCAGCCGGGACTGCAACAAAAACCGCAGCCAAAACGTGACCGAAACCGGGCCCGAAATCCCGGTGCCAAATCTCGCAGAGTGGGGGACCGAAAATCGGTCCCTTTCGAGGACAACTTTCTTGCAACTTGCTTGTACCTCGGTCTATTTATCTTCTGCTTGAGGTACCACTAGTGCTACTTCTACACTCCTTTTTGCAACTTGCTTGTACCTCATTCTAATCATTTTTCTGCTCGTACTGGCACTAGTACTACTTCTACACCCCTTTTTCAATCCTGAACCTACACCTTAAACCCCTCAACACTAAACTCCAAGCCACAGCTTTGGATCTTCACCCTCCAAAGGTCAGGGTTTAGGGTTTAGGGTGCTGGATCAAGGGGATTCATGCATTACAGGGATAACAAAGGTTGCTATATGCTTTTTGTGGGCTATAAATACCCTTACTACTACTCCTACGACTCCAAGGTATGATGGTGACTCGTACCTAAACCCTAAAAACCTTAGACACTAAACTCCAAGCCAGAGCTTTAGATCCTCACCTTCCAAGGGTCCGGGACGGTCAGGGTTTGGGATCTAAGGGTCAAGGTTTATCTTTTTAGGTTCTGGATCAAGGGGATTTCTTTATTATAGGGATAACAGCTAACAGAAGTTGCTATATTAATGGTTTTTAGGGCCATAAATTACTTACTAAGTCCGCTTGACCTTACAATTGAAGCAGAATCGTGAGCCCCCAGCCGAAGTAGCGACTACAATATGTTGGTCCCCGTTTTATAGAATTATCTTTTCTGAACCAAAAACGTGGATCCCAAAACCCTTAATCCTTAAACCGTAAACCACAAAGCGTGAAGTTCACATGTCTGCCCTTGCTTCAGAATGATAAATTGTACTTGGGGCTCTGGCTTGGTTTAAGGTTGGCAGGAAGCCGGAAATGCCGGACAAAATGCACCTAGAAAGGGATCGAAAATCGGTCCCCCTTTGGCAGAGTCCGAAGAAGAAAGTTTTAGCTATTCTCAACACATGTCTGGGTTTTCCGAAGCCCCGGCTGGTTCCCGTTACGCAGGGCCCAGCGGCATCCAGCGGCCCTGTTACGGAAACCGGCCGGCTCCTGTTACGGAATTGGGGCCGGTTCCTGTTACACTCCACTGTTACGGACAATCGGTTCCCGTTACTTCCAATATCTTCCAATCCTCTGTGATATGAGCTGGCGTCAAAATTACTTGTCTGTGGTAATGGTGGAATTCATATAGGGTGCCCCGTATCGTTTTGCAGGTCTGGGAGGTATTGTTTTGGAGTATCGTTTTTTAGGGTGCCCCGTATCGTGTTGCAGTAGTTTTAACATATCTCTACTCATTGACCAACCCTCCATACCACTGTACAATAACA